GAGAAAGCAAAGTTATACATGAAATGGGTTCTAATACATGGGTCAGTGAGAAAAAGGAAAGAAAGAAAAAAGAGGGCTAAAAATACCCGTCCCTCTCCACTCGAAAAATATACATATATATTCTACTTCTCGGCCCTCAGTCGCTTCACATCTTCTCTCGCGGCCTCAAGCAACTTCTCCTGATCCTTAATCATCTGTCTATTCTCCGCTACCCTCTTCCGATCCAAGTCACTCAGCTCTTTCTGTCGCTGAGTTTCTTCGATCTCCGCCTTATCTGCCTCCGAGAGCGGGATATCCTCCGCACCCGTCATCTGCTTAAAATCGTCCCAGATATGCCTTATCGTCTTCTTTTTCACATTGATGCGCCTTACGATCTCCGACTCCGTTGGCGGAGGTGCAAACTCGTCTGACAGCTGCTCTTCTCCTTCTGGCGCGGGAGGGCCTGGGGAAGGGTTGGCGGTCGCCGGATTTTCACTACTCGGGGAAACAGCTTCGGACGCCTCTGTAGCTTTATTCTTGAAATATATCGATAATATGGCAGGTCCTGCTTGGTCGGTGGTTTGTTTCACTGTGACGGCAAGCGTGGGGTTGTGATATTTTAACCGCGGGAGACAGACGCGCCAGAATTTCCTGGCTCCTCCGTGACCTTCGTAGATTTTTTGTGCGTAGGTAAGGTGGATGCGTGTGACAGGTGGGAGTCCGTGTGTGGACGTTGCCGGAGGAAGGAGGGCTGCACCAAGCCCAACTCGCATGTTCAACAACTAAGAGAACCAGTGGGAAGTATAGATTAGCATTAAACTATTCCTACATTCGTTGGGTTGTAGTATTGGTTTGACGAATGGGGCATCGACAGATTGAAGAGCCGGGTTTGTTCACCACAATTTGGTGTAGAAATATTGTAAACAAAAAATAGTAGAGTGGTCAACCTTCTGTGAATGAGAACGAAATTAAGTTAGTCATATTATCTTTCATGGATATACAGCTTTAACGCAAAGAATGGGCCGTGTTTCGACATACTGCCTTGAGAGCTCGCATCCGTTTCACTATGGAGACCATGGTGGCGATTGCTCTCCTGCCTCCGCCAAAAATGGTTTCTGGGAGGCCGTGCCTAAATTAATTGGGACAGGAGATTGTACCGGGAAAACAATCGCCAATTAGCAGTTGGGAGGAAATCGACAACTCCGCGATGCATCTCCCCGAAGCTCGAAATTTTGGGAGCCGATGCTCGGTCAATAGAAAGTCCGACATGATAACTAGTTAACTAGTTGATGGGCTGAGTCAGCAAATCGTGGAGTTTTGAGGTCATCGCATCTACAAAAACCCCGCTACTACAAGATCTTGCAATTTTGCACAATACCAAAACTCATTTTCTGCTAACCGCTTAAATTGCCTTTTGGCCGTACTTAGCTAGAAACTATGGCGGCTGCCGCTGTTGCAGCTGCAGCGCTGGACCCCAGCAATAGCGCCAAAAATACATTGAAACTTGAAAATGTAAGAGCCATTTCTGCCCCGCACGTTGAGTAGGAACACTGCTAACAGCGGGGTTCAAGACGGACAAAAGAGACACCCTTATTGCAATTGAAAAGAAATACCAAGCGCAATGGAAGGCGAACAAGGTTTTCGAAGTCAATGCCCCATCTATATCCGAAATTCCCCCTGACTCTATCACCGCTGCCGGCCTGCGGGAAAAGTTCCCAAAATTCTTTGGCACCATGGCATATCCATATATGAATGGAACTTTACATGCCGGCCACAGCTTTACCGCCAGTAAAGTAGAGTTTATGGCGGGAACTGCTAGAATGGAGGGAAAACGAGCTCTATTTCCTCTTGGTTTCCATTGCACCGGTATGCCGATCAAAGCTTGTGCCGATAAGCTGGTGGACGACATTAAAAAGTTCGGGAAACATTTTGAGAGATATACCGACGAAGGGGATGAGCCCGACGAAGCTCCCGCTCCGATTCAGGGAACCAAAGAGGACCTGACCAAGTTTTCTGGGAAGAAGAGCAAGGCCGCAGCCAAGTCTGTGAAAATGAAATACCAGTTCCAAATTATGTTGGCTTTGGGTATACCCCTTGAAGAAGTACATAAGTTTGCCGACCCTGCCCACTGGCTTGAATTCTTTCCGCCATTGTGTGTCAGAGATCTCGATAGTATCGGAGCTAGGATCGATTGGCGGCGTCAGTTCGTGACCACGGATGCCAACGCTTATTACGATGCCTTTACCCGCTGGCAGATGAATCGCCTCCATGAGCAAGGGAAAATCTTGTACGGAAATCGATATACTATCTATTCACCCAAGGACGGACAACCGTGTATGGATCATGACCGGACTGAAGGTGAGGGAGTTGGTCCACAAGAATACACCGCTTTGAAACTTAAGGTCAGGGAATGGTCGCCAGCTGCCCAAGAGCTTGTTAAGGGGAAGATTGAACCCGACGCCAATGTGTACTTTGTTCCTGCCACCCTACGTCCCGAGACGATGTATGGGCAGACATGTTGCTTCCTCGGGCCTAAAATACCTTACGGCATCTACAAGGTCAGCGAGAAGGAATATTACATTGTTACTAAGCGCGCAGCCTGGAACATGGCCTTCCAAGGCACTTTCTTCAGCAGTGACAATTTCCCACGAGACCAGAGTGAGCTTCAACCACTAGTGGAGGCCCCTGGCTCCACATTTGTTGGTACGCTGGTCAACGCGCCTCTGTCTGTTCATACCGAGGGTGTTAGAATACTTCCTATGGAGTCCGTGTCTGCAACTAAGGGAACTGGTGTCGTAACATCGGTACCGTCAGACAGCCCGGATGATTATGCAACTGTAGTTGATCTCGCAAAGAAAGCTGATTACTACGGAATTAAGAAAGAATGGGCTGAATTGGAAATCCTTCCTATTATCGAAACCCCTTCGTATGGGAACCTTACAGCACCAACCTTGGTAAAGCAGCTCAAGATCAACTCACCAAAGGATGCAGTTCCGCTCGCCAAGGCAAAGGAATTAGCATATTCGGAAGGATTTTACAAAGGTACCATGCTTCATGGAGAGTTCAAAGGCCAGCCAGTTCAAGAAGTCAAAGAGAAGGTCCGTGAGTCTCTCATCAAGAGTGGCGACGCGTTCCCGTTTGCCGATCCTGCAGGCAAGGTCGTCAGCAGAAGTAATGATGAATGTGTTGTTGCATATCTTGGTCAATGGTTCTTAAATTATGGGGAAAACGATCCGCAGTGGCAGAAAGAGACCCTTGACTATGTGAAAGGACCACTCAACACCTATTCTCAAGAAGCTCGCCACGGGTTTGAGAAGAACCTTGAGTGGCTGAATCGATGGGCATGTGCCAGAACTTATGGCTTGGGTTCCAGACTGCCATGGGATCCTCATTTCCTAGTAGAAAGTTTGAGTGACAGTACAATTTACCAGGCATATTATACCATTGCACACCTTCTCCACGCTGACAGATACGGAAAGGAACCGGGTAGACTCGGAATCAAGCCCGAGCAAATGACGGACGAGGTTTGGGATTATATCTTCACTAGAAGAGATCTTGGCGATGATTTAATTCGATCAACCGGCATCCGTAAGGAGGCTTTTCTGACTATGAGACGAGAGTTTGAGTACTGGTATCCCCTGGATGTGCGCGTTTCAGGCAAAGATCTTATTCAGAACCATCTCACATTTTGCCTATATATCCACGCCGCGCTTTTCCCTCGGGAATACTGGCCACGCTCTATCAGAGTCAATGGTCATTTGCTGCTGAACGGTGAGAAGATGAGCAAGAGCACTGGAAATTTCTTGACCTTGAAGGATGCAGTGGAAAAATACGGTGCGGATGCCACTCGGATCGCCTTTGCTGATGCGGGTGACGCGATTGAGGATGCGAACTTTGACGAATCAGTCGCCAATAGTAATATATTGCGTCTTTTTACGCTGAAGGAGTGGATCGAGGAGGTTGCCAAAGACAGCTCTCTCCGCACGGGACCTGCAGATGCATTCTTCGATAAGCTGTTTGGCAATGAACTGAATGTTTTGGCTCGGGAGGCAAGGAAGCATTATGCTGAGTAAGTCAATAATCGTGTTCTGCTTCAGGGTATATATTTATATGTATGTATGTCGATGTCTAATTTGAATTCTCCCATAGCACAAATTTCAAACTTGCTTTGAAGAGTGCACTCTACGACTTTACCAGTGCAAGAGATTTCTACCGCGAATCAACTACCGCTGCTGGTATTGGTATGCATCGCGATATAATTCTACGATACATCGAACTTCAGGCCCTCCTTCTGACACCGATTACTCCTCATTGGTCTGAATACGTGTGGCTGGAGGTCCTCAACAAGGTATGTTTCCCTGAAAATTTCCACCTTTCTAGAAGTATCAATTTCGTCAGGCTGCTAATAATTTTCCTAATAGCCGGATACCATCCAGAATGCCCTTTTTCCTGATGTTCCAGAGCCATCTCCAGCCCTTTCCTCCGCTCTAATCTACGTTCGCACTACCGCCTCAAACATCACCTCATCCGAAGCTACCTTTGCCCCGCAAACTCTCCAAGGGCAAAACCGTCAGCTTCGACCCTCGCAAACCAAAGAAGTTGACCATCTTCGCCGCCAAGAAATTCCCCAGCTGGCAAGAGAAATATATCGACCTTGTCCGAGAGGCGTTTGATGAAGTCTCCCTATCCATTAACGACAAAGAGCTGAATGGCAAAGTGAGCAAGTTAGGCGAGATGAAGAAAGCAATGCCGTTCGTGCAGGGATTGAAGAAGCGATTGGTCACGGCAAAGGAACTGCCGGAAACAGTTTTTAACCGAGAACTGGGCTTCGATGAGCTATCGGTTCTTGGCGATATGGTTGCGGGTTTGATCAGAACGACTGGATGTAAAGTTGTGGAGGTCGTTGCCGTTGAAGAGGGCGGTAAAGCGGGTACGACCTTGGATGGCCAGCCGAGAGAGGGGCTACCAAATGTTGCGGAGAATGCAGTGCCCGGACAACCAACGTTCCATTTCGAGAATATCCCTGAGGCGGGTGGAGTGTAATTTGTGACCGAGTAACGTGGGTTTCGATTTGTGAGGTCGCCATATCGTGCTTTGTTCATTGGCGGGGCGGGGGATAAAGAAAGGTGATAGAGATTTAAAGGGGTTATCTTTATCGTTAAGGGCTATTTAACGTTAAGAGGCATGACGTAAGAACAAGCAGAATAAATAATATAGATAAATATTTGACATGAGCCTGGCGAGCATTCTCCGATCAAATTTTCTATATTTATTGATCCAACTCGTAAAAACATGGATATGTGACCGAGGAGCAAATTGGTATGATAAACGCCAACCCAAATATTTAAGTAGGATAACACCTTTACCCGCCATATCATACAGTTTGGTCTGTCTATCAGATATATGTTAGTTACATGTCCGTAAGAAAATACTGGGATATGGACCAAGGAACCCCGAATGAAATCTAATGATACAACCGTTTTGAAAAATCCACCAAAATCGAAGGAACACACAATCAATACGTTCAACCCTAATCTAACCTCCTCCTTTGCCTCTCCTCACACTGCTCATCGGCCTCTTCACTCGCTTTCTCGCAACGTTCTGTTGCTTCTCAAGCAAAAGTGAATATGCGCACATCGGCCTCCTCCTTGCAACAAATTTCCCCGCAGGGCTAAACACCTCGACCTTAGGCATAAGCCCCGCGTCCAAATCCTTCGCGCGCACCTGCACAACGAGTTCCACCCACCCGCAACCCTCAATCAAAATATCCGTCGACAGAACCTGATACGGCAGTGTGCTCATCATCTTCTTCTGTTTCCTATCCAACGGCAACGAAGTCGGTTTGCCGTACGTCTTGGTTACATCTCCGTCAATCTCAAATATGCCAGCGGATTTTATCGATTCAGCGAAACCTTCCCTGGCAATGGTAGGCACATTGGGCACCTTGCGCTGCTCTGCCTGCATGAGTATAGCCTTCTCCGTCGACGTTACGTGTGGCTGTATTGGGACGAATGAGGCGGCGAGAACGACTAAATTGTCTGCGTCAACTGGGGTGATACGGATGAGCCCTCCACCAAGGACGAGGGATTGTTTGGGTTTTAGTGTCAGCCGCTCGGGTTTCAAGCGTTTCTTCATGATTAAGTCTGATTTGTGATCATCTTTCACAAATTCTTCTAGGCCGGCGCGGGCGAGGCCGGGAAGGTCTATTACTTCCCCCCTTTTTCTGCCAAAGGGGATGCGGATAGGGGATGCGGTTGTTCCTGGCAGGGAGGACACAATGGGAAAAATGGGATATTGCGCCACTTGTTGGGCAGGAGGGAGGAGGGTATCGACTTCTTCGTTGGTCTCACCATTCTGATTTGGGTCAGGATCTTTAAGTTCTCCTGGGAGTGGCAGGTCTCTATAATCCAGGGTGTCATCGGTAAAATTTGAAGTCCGGGCATTGGCCTGCAAGCGCTCCTCGAATCTCCCGCTGCCACGTAACTTATAAGGAGGTAGCGCTCTAGGGGATTTTGGAAAAACAACTTGGAGTAAACTGCTTTTGCCCACGTTCGTTTTACCAACCATCCAAACACCCCCACCTTCCTCCCAAATTTTATCCTTGATCTCTTTCGTCCACCAACCCCTATGCGCACTAACCATGTGCACGTTACCCAAACGCACTTTCTCGCCTTTCGAACCTAATGCCTCACGCATTACGTTTAGGACATAGGTCATTAGGTGGTCCACAAATTCCTTTCGCGAACCGAGGAGATCAGACCGAGTGATGATGAAGCTGAGAACGGGTTTCCTGCCTCCACCGCCATACTGTATGGTTTTCGCTCTTCGATTTTGCGTTCGCGGTTTTGCCAGGTCTAGTATTCGGCTGATATTAGGGATTAGGGACATAGGGAAGTCCGCAGCGTCTATAATGTGATACACATGATTGTGCCTGTAAGGTGATTCGACGAGGATGTCTTCGATGTATGATATTGGCGGACAAGGAATGGGAGACGCAATGCCATGATTTATAAGGCCCATGACATCTATCACAGAATGGTACCTTTATATCACCTAAGGATGGCTTATCTATAGATATTATCATTTAGTTCAGGGCTCGCTCATACTCGCGGGCTCCACGTACCTTCAGGCTGTGGTGCAGACTCTACGCCCAATTTTATTTCGGCTGGAGCATTATCAACACCGTGGACATTACTATTCCGATTCTGAACACCTTCTGCTTCAGAGGGAGACTTTTCCGAATCGGAAGAAAACCGGCGAATATACTCCTTCACAGATTTTCTATTGACGGAATAGTAACCGGCTTCTTCGGGAGTGACCCATTGCGTAAATGCGCCGCAGCCGGGACATGATAATGGGAGCGAAGTAGGATCAAGTTTCGGGCAAATACGCTCGGGTATATCTGGAATTGGGGTATCTGGAGAGGAGTAATGAAGTCGTCGCGGAAGGAATGGGAGATGGATGCTGCATACGCTTGGTTTCCATCTGGAGGAAGAAGAATATGAAAGTCGCAGTGAAGGAAGATATCCGAAATTGATAAGTCTCCGCAATGCAGACCGGGGAGTTAGTGACATTATATTAATTAAAAGTAATTAAAAGAGAAACCATCGCAACAGATTCTCGAGAAATCTCAGGCACTGAAATTTTGGTCGAGAAGACAGCGCATATGGTCTTCCGGGGTGACCGTATAAAATATAGATCACAGGACGAATGCCACCGTGACCCAATGGAACAAAACGCTGAAGTATTTACTATACTAGAGAATTATGGGAATAAAAGCAATAAGGATAGTGGATAAAAGTACAGTGTCATCCATTTCCATTGAAGAAATGATTAAATTTTCATCTAGCCCCTATGTATGCAGAGCCAACCCAAGCAGTATGATGAACCGAGTTAACAAACCGATAATTAAACTCTGAACGCCTTGCATCGTGAAAAAGACTGAAAATCGAATTGCATACATAATTGGAAATTAAGCTCTTCCCTTCCCCTTTCCTTCAACTTCCTTTTTGTCAGGTATATCCACGTCCTCATCTCCGTCTCCATCACTCGTCAATTCATCATCTTCTTCGTCGAAGCCGAAATATCTCCTTACAGGCGCGGCGGACTTGACTGATTTCGGTCGTGTGATCGCAATCGTGCTTGTCTGTTCAATATCCTCCATATCGCTTCCATCGCGCGGACTCGATGAAGACCCGGAATCTTCACTACTGTTGCTGACGCTGGTACTTGACCCACCTAGAACCTCAGCTCCGGCCAGGTTATCTTTCCAGTTGCCTTCTTTCATTGCGCGCAAAACAGCCTCTCTCGCTTTTTCACCCACTTCCTCCTTATCTTCCATCCACGCCCCATCAACTTTACCCTTGCCTTCACCGTTTCGAATCTCCGCTTCACGTCTCTCAGCCGCCTCAACCACAGCCTCCCATCTCTTTCTTCTGGCTTCCTTTGCCTTCTTGTCCATATCGGGCTTGAGCGCAAGGTACTCAGCCAGTGCTTTGGCTTCCTTCACGGTCCTAAGCCGACGACCATCGAGATTACGGTTCGAGCCGTTGTTCTCTTCCTGGTTTCCCTTGCGGCGACTAGACATACGGCCTCCAGCAGCACGAAGCTGAGAGCCAAAGCCACCCTTCCCACCGCATAATTGGGCGCTGAGTCGAAGAGGGATAAATGTGTGTTGCGAGAGGTTTTGCGCGTGGTCGAGGAGGGAGGCGATGGAATTTGAAGAGTAAGGGAAAAGTTGTTTATTGTCAGTAGTGGTTAGGAGAAGACGTGAAGACACATTCCTCAGAGACGATGGGAGACGCGAGGATATGTTGTCCGCAACATCGGCGATGGTTGCAGTGGATGGGAGAGAGAACGAGAGGGTGGGTGGCAACGGCAAACCAGGGAAAGAGGTGAGGAGGAAATTTATCGTTTGAGGTGGCATATTGGCGGTATCGATATGATTTCTATTTCGATAGCCTCAGATGGATACCCTGCTGTGCTTTGGTATGCTATCTAAAAAGATGTTTGTTCGTAGCGAACTTGATAATGAAACTTGATAATGAAGAATGCTGCGATAGAATTGAGATTGACGTCGTTTCATGGAAACAGGTCACATGATCCACCAGCCACGAATAGGTGTACCTCTTCCTAGTAAGGACTAGCGCCCTGCACCACACTGCAAATAAGCCACAAACCAGAATATCACCTCTCAGTTCGTCACTTAGGGCAAACCCTAGTCACGTTGTCGGTCACACACTCGGCAAAAGAAAAGCATTGAACAAGCGCGAAGGTCCAAGTCCAGCTCAACAACCCTCATCACCGCCCGAATACCCCATTGTCAAAGCGATTCCCCGAATTGCGCCAGGAACTCGCGACAATGTATGATGGCCTTCAACTATTTGTTGCTGAATACCTTGCTAACTCTCAAACTCCAGGCTGATCCCCAAAGCTGACCGCAAGAAAATCCACGAGTACCTCTTCCGAGGTATGTTGACCCAACACAATTTCTCACCCATACCTAAATTTTTATTTTATTACAGGCTGTGCTCGCATATAAATATTTCGATTCTAATCATTTGTGGAAAAATTATATAGAGGGCGTACTCGTGGCCAAGAAGGACTTCAACCTTCCCAAGCATGGCGACATTGACACTAAGAATCTTTACGTAAGAAACCCCGAAAAATTGCAGAAAAAGAGGGGGAAAAGAGGTCACTTAATAACGAAATTATGAAAAACAACAGGTGATCAAAGCCTGCCAATCCCTTACCTCGCGCGGCTACCTCAAGACCCGCTTCTCGTGGCAATACTATTACTACACCCTCACCCCTGAGGGCCTCGACTATCTCCGTGAATGGCTTCATCTGCCCGCTGAAATCGTCCCCGCTACCCACATCAAGCAGCAGCGTTCGCACGCTCCTCCCCGCGGCATGATGGGCGGAGAAGAGCGTGAGAGACGACCCGGTGGGCGTGGTGGCCCGCGAGGCGATGGTGGCTACCGACGCCGTGAACAGGGTGACGCAAAGGAGGGTGGTCCCCCTGGCGACTTTGCTCCTTCATTCCGTGGCGGCTTCGGTCGTGGACGTGGTGCTCCTTCGGCTTCTTAGATGAAGATGATGACTATTGGGAGATTGACGAAGTTTTTGTCCGGTGTTTACGACCCAAGGGGGTTATGCTCGGGTATCGTGTGGGTGAATGAGAATGGTTGGGAAAATTAAAACATACAACATTTAACCTCAAATGAAATAAAAAATCATTACCTGGAAAATGATTTCTTTCTGTCAATATGTTTTATTTTACAATGTGTCAACATGACTTTGATTCCAGCTGATTCTACAGGGACCTAGCGCCGTAAACGAGCTTTTCTTTAGATATCATAAACAATATCCTCTACAAATCAACCTTATTCCCATCTAAAATTCGAAACTTTTAATATTTACATATTTCATTTCATTTACAGATGACAATTGAGACACGCCAATCACCCTCACCCCAACCTGTTCGATAAGAAAAACCACACTGCTACCGCCTACTCCTTAAACCTCATTTGATCATACCTCACAACGGCCTGCAAAATAACCGTTGCCCCCGTCACACAATCCTCTGCCGACGAAAACTCCTCTGGATGAAGACTCACCCCATCCTTACACGGCACAAATACCATACTCGTCGGTACTTTTGTCGAGGTAAAAACACTATCATGCCCTGCCCCACTCCGAATTGTACGATACAGTGACTCGGGGTTCGCCTGAACCATCATCTTCGCTGAGGCGTAGAGCGCGTCAGCCCGGCGCTCAAAGGCCGTGGTCCCCGTGTATGTGCCACGGCCGGTTACGTTGATGCGGTACCAGCGATATGCCTGGACGGCTGTGACGACGCCCACACGCTGACCAGCGGTGGTGAGGTAAGGGCCCTGTTCGATGTGGAGTTCGAAATGGGCGGCGATGGGATGTGCGGTGTGTGAGCATGGGGTAGAGCCCAGGTATTGTGGCGGACGTAAAGCTTGCGAAAACAGAATTTTCTGCCACCCCCTGAAAAATAGTAGCAAAACACTGCAAAAATAACCAAAATATCCACATATCTCTAGAATCATTCAAATATCATTCAATTCATTCAAATACACATCTTTATCATCAAATACATACCTTTATCATCAAATCTGTTAATATGCCTTTCTAGCTCAGCAAATTTATCATCAATGAGATTGTACATCTTCTAAATAATGATTATATATCTGCTCAAATTGTGTGGATCATTGAGTGTCATTTGATCATTGTATATTGAATTCAATAAAATATTCACTGTTTTGGAACTGCTAGAAGTTCTCATTCAATATGAAATGTAAAATTAAAGATCACATTAAATATTTTGTTAGATTTGAAGAATTTTTTTAATATATATTCAACTGCATATCACAATGAAATTGTCTGCTTATGAAGAATGAATTTGAAGTTGATATTCACTCTCAATTAATATCTAAATTGTTGAAAAAACTGCATTTGATATGAAAAAAAATGATTAATTATTATAATTGTCATTTATAGAATCTGCTAATCTGTCAATTCTATTTAATATAAATTGAATTTGTGATCAATCAACATAATGAAGAATTTTAAATGAAATGATGTATTTAAATTACTTAATATCAATTTGATCAATTTATCTTTTTAAATAAAAATGTTGTGAATGAATATATTGCAGATTTATGATATAAATAATCAAGCAGAGAATTTTTTTATTGCATTAAAAGATTTTATAAACAATTTCACAGATGATCAATTTTATTTGCAATTATTATTATTATAATTATTCTTTTATTATAAATGTAATAAACGCAACAGAGATATCTATATTAAGAAATAGATATATAATGATAGAAAGGTATAGAATAATCAATTATGATGAATGTAATATGATGACAACATTGTCTATATAATGCTCATTAATATCTGTATATAGAGGAGATCAGTGATTAACTTTGAATAATAGAAATTGCTATTTTTTAAATATTTTTTTATATGTATTTATAACAGACGTATATCGATTAACGATCTAGCACTATTCTAAATACAGATTATGAATTGATTAAGAAAAGAAAGAGAAAAGAGATCAGAAGAAAAGATTGTATGAAGAGGGTTTTTATAAAGAAGAAATCAGAGTGAAAAAATATTAGAAACTGCTCTGCAGTGAAGCATAGAGCAGAAGAACATTGAAAGATATGCAGAAGAATCATTAAAATTATGTGAATGTGAAATATGAAAAACTACACAAGTATGGAATGTGAGGAACTACATGAGTGCAGAGTGTAAGGAACTACATAAGTGTAGAGTATCAGACAGAAGAGGTTGATTGTATAAATTAATCATTAACAGATGCTAATCTGTTATATTATCCCCTTTTACTGAAATGAGTGATGATTCATAAATGTTGAGAGTGGCGGTGTCCTTCATGGTAGATCCTACTACCTGACTTAGCTTATTGTTTCTGGGCTGGAAACTTGTATCGCGAGTACCAAATCCTGACTTCCATTAATTTTTCTATGTGCTTGTTATATTCTTGGCGTCATTCAACACTAAGCATTCCTCTTGTATAACCAACTCTTGCCTGTATTTAACATTACACAAGGACTCGTCATAAGCACTGCTTGCATACGAGTATAATGGAAGAAGAATAATAATAATAATAATGGCAGATGCGGGTTCCCAAGTCGGGTGATTGTATTTTACTCATTTGATAAGGTTTTCACAGTAGTGGTGGTTGGTTCTATTATCAAGAATTGCTTCAATCTCTCATTCAAGTTCATTATCTTCTTCTATGATGATGAGTGGCTATCAGTTGAAGATTCTTTGTGAGGGGAATGGATTCTCAGCTGCGGGTCGGAGCAGGTTTATATGAAAGACATTATAAATGTCAGATGAGATGTCAAGTCAATAATTGTGTGTGCTCAGCACCTTTGTCACAGTATATTTGATGTAGTGGTAATTTAATATATGCAAGAAACAGTTCATTTTTATGTTCTTGAGATCTAATCAGATTTTATCTTTTATATAATATTGAGTTGCAGAATTTCTTCTGATGTTTATTTGATTCTCATAATTTTGCTGAGTGCTGATCATGAAAGCTTCTGTCTATTTGCAGATTTTTTTAAACTGGCTCACAATATTCTCTGCTGCTTGTATAGAACTGCAGATGTATATGATTTCTCAGAAATTCTTAAAAAAGTTCAGAATTTTTAAATTGTATTTATGCAGAAGAAAGAATGAGCTTATGTCTGTTATGACAGAATCTCAGCTGTTAATCACAATCTCAACATGTGGTAACAGATGGCTTCAATTATCTTGTGTGTAATTGCAGAATTTACAGAGAATGTCCTTCATTGTTTATATCATTCTCTCTATGACTTCATCAATCTCTGAGTGATATGCTGTTGACAATTTTCGTTCAATTTTTAGCAGCTGATATATGCAGGTTCAGAGTGTGCTGATGAATTGACTGCCTTTATCTGATACAATGAATGAAGGCAGACTGTGCATACAATAGAATGGGCTTTGAACAAAGGCATCTACAACTACTTCAACATCCATCTTATCACAGAGCCGCAGTATTACACTCTTGCTGAGTTAGTCAACAATGACTAGAATGTTCATAGAATCTTCATTTTTGAATAGAGAATTATTATTATTATTATTTTTCCATTATACTCGTATGCAAGCAGTGCTTATGACGAGTCCTTGTGTAATGTTAAATACAGGCAAGAGTTGGTTATACAGGAGGAATGCTTAGTGTTGAACGATGCCAAGAATATAACAGGAATATAGGAAAATTAATAAAAGTCACGATTTGGTACTCGCGATACAGGTTTCCAGCCCAGAAACAATAAGCTAAATCAGGTAATAGGTCCGCCCGAAGGTACCTACTTGGCAGGTTCATACCCCTTTATTTTAGGAGCTGAGAAGTTGGCTCCGGATGCAATGTTGTCCCCAAAATCAATTGCTATATCACATCAGATTCATTCAAAGATAGGCAGGGGTTTCAACATTTCTTTTCATTGTTTGCATCATGCTGTTACTGAGCCACAGCAATCGCAATTGCATACAAACTGACCTATATTTTTTAACATGTTCAATCAGTAGAAGTCTCAGATTACAATGCTGTATATGATCTCATAATATAAATGCTCAATCATTGATGAGTTGTGGATCTTCTATATGATTCATGTTCATAGAGATTCTGAATCAATGATCCACCATCCATCTCAAAAGTGTAGACATTCATCATTATTAATTGAACATATCAAGATGTTCGTTATTGAGTATACGCCTGCAAAGAATCAGAGTGCCTTACTTTGTACAGCTTCAATAACTTGTTATCAAGATTTGTTCACTTCTGCTACTTGTCTCCATTACTCTTTAAATAAGAGGTTTTGTGTTTGAGATTGATTAACATATACACAGGGTTCATCTGATTGTGTGGGATGTTTTATGATTGTGAGGTTAATTAACTGATGCTCTCAGTGTTTCCATTCGTCATTCAAATCATCAAATGATATATCTTATTTTTAATATGACAGAGCATTTACAAAAGTGTTTTCTACTTCTGATCAGTAATAGATTGTGAATGAAAAACAGCTGAGGAATAATGATCAATACATATGCCTTTCAGTGAGCTTATGAGTGATTGTGAAGTATTTTAGATTTTTATGATTGGTGATGATTTCGAACTTCTCAATGCTCATGAGTTCGAATTTTCATTTTTTGAGACATTGTATGATCACTAGAAGCTTCTTGTTGTAGATCTTGTAATTGCATTCATTGAGCAACATTTTTTTCAAGATGAAGACATAGAGTTGCAAAACATCTTCATTATTATATTGCATTAATAATTTGTCTACTACATAATCTGAGATATCTGTTTTGAGAATCATATATTTGTTTGGGTTGAATGATTGCAGCATTATAGCACTTGTGAACATATGCTTTAGCTTTTTAAATGCTGCGTTCACTTCATCAGTTCATTGAAATACAGTGTTCTTTTGAATTAGATCTGTCAGTGATTGTACAATATCTGAAAAGTTCTTGATGAATCTTTAGTAGAAGTTGGTAAATCTTAGAAAGCTTCTAGTCTCTTTTACTGAAACTGATACCTCTCAGTTGAGGATTGCTTCCACCTTCTTAGAATCTATGCGTATGTCTCTTTCAGCTTCGATGATAAATTCTAGATAGATTGTAGACTTGGTTTTGAAATTGCATTTATCAATGTTCACTTGCAGTTCTGCTTCTCGTAGGCGGTCAAGCACCTGTCGTACATGCTTACAATGCTCAGTGAGCGATCCATCAGTAAAGATCAGGATATCATCTATGTACACTGAAGTGGTCTCATTGAGCAAGTCTCATAAAGCCCAGTTGATATATTTCTGGAATGTACTCAGAGCATTTGCTAATTCAAAGAGGGTCACTGTCCATTCATATAACTTATAACATATATGAAAGGCAGTTAGCCATTCATCACCCTCATTGATTCTTATCTTGTAGAAGGCTATGGAGATATTAAGTTTCATGAATCATTTTGCTTTCTCTATTCATTCAAGTGTTTCATTAATGAGTGGAAGAGGATATTGATCCTTTCACATAATCTTGTTAAGTTCTCAGTAATCAATGCAGAATTGTAAACCTTCTTCTAGTTTCTTTGTGAATAATACAGATGCTGCAGTGGGTGAATTGTTAATATGAATGAAGTTTTTGTCCAGTAATTCATTGAGTGTTTTTCATAGAATGAGAAGCTCATTGTGTGATATGTTGTAGAGAGAACCTCAAAGTGATTGTGAGTTCTTGTTATTTTTTTTGATGAGTTCAATTGTATGATTTATGCCGCGTCCTCAGTGAAGAGGAAGCTTTTCAACTGCTTTCTCATTAAACACATTTATGAAATTCTTATATGATTCAGAGAGTTTTTTGTGAGACTTCTTAAAATTCTTGAGTTCTAACTTTTCTAACACTTTTTTAATATCTGTTATACTAGCAGTGAACACTTGAACGTTCTTCTTCTTGCACACTTGGACAGCTTTGTAAAAACTTGATAACTTATTCTTAACTTAAACACCTGAGTGCAATTGTAAACATAGAGCACTCAAGCTGACATAGATGAATCAATTTATAATATAACAGATGTACATCAATTAACAATTTAACACTATTCTAAATACAGATTATAAATTGATTAAGGAAAGAAAGAGAAAAGAGAGCAAAAGGAAAGGTTGTATGAAGGGGGTTTTTACAGAGAGAAGATCAGAGTAGAAGAATATCAGAAGCCACTTCACAGTGGAGCATGGAGTGGAAAAACATTGAGGGTTACACAGAAGAATTGTTAGAACTATGCGACTACACGAGCACAGAGCGTGAGGAACTACACGAGTGCGGAGCGTGAGGAACTACGCGGGCGCGGAGCGTGAGGCAGAAAAGGTTGGTTGCATAAGTTAACCACTAACAGGTGCTAACCCGTCATATAATGACAATATCTTTTCTCAATTGATCATCTAATTTCATACACAGTGAGCCGTAGAGCTCACAATGATGAGCCTGCATGCTTGTGTCAAACCAGGGGTCTAAATGGGTGCGGATTCGCTACACAAAGTAGAAGATGGCAAGCTTTCTCTGACAGTCTCCCTGTTTGACAAGGTTGAGATCATGTATTCTGCAGTACAGTTTCATGCATCTCTAAAATGGGAGAGCGATGGCCATCTCCTCACTTATCCATGTGGTTCAAGTAGAAGGGAATAGATGTCAGAAGTGTCAACAGAATGACATATAAAGAGACATAGTTTCCTCTGAAATTCTGAGGCAATCAAGAATATTTACTGAGCAAAACTTCTCAATTCCAATCCCTGTGAGCCATTACACATTGTTGCTATATCTTTATAAATCACAATGTTCAAACCCACAAAGTTTAATGACATCAAAGCTTCTCTCTCTTCACCTCTTCACTCTCAAACATCTTCAAATAACTGTAGCCATGCAAATCCTCTGCAGTCTGTTACTATAAAACAGCTGTGAGAATTTTTTATGGATGTTCTTCATCAAGCCAAGCAGTCATCAAATTCTTCAAAGCCAATTGAAAATATTAAACTGAAGACAAACAAAAATAAAGAAAGTAATGAGGGGAAAGTTTGAGCATCAAAATTCAAATATAAGAAGGTTCATAAAGTGTACATCTCATCATTCAATATCTTCATTCCTTTTATGCTCACTGATAGTTAGATAGAATAAGAACAACTTCAAGTATAAAATTGTGAACTTTGTGAAAGAGGACAAAACAATTGATGATTTTGATCAGTATATATTTATTATTCAGAACCAGCTTAATAAAAAATATATTTCTAACTCTCACACTTGATTACTAATAGTATATTAGACAGAATAATTAAAGAAACTAAGACTTTTATTGATATCAAGTTTGAGATATTGCTTGATTTGCTGTGAGAAATTGTGAGAGATGTTAAAGCTATCAGCTTGTATGAGAATAAATCTTCAATATTATTTCATTCTTCTACTCAATTTAATTGAAATAATCATTAACTCAGTATCAAATTGAATGAAACTTTTTATACAACTTCCTTCCTGATCTTGAGAAGTACATTATCAAGAAAAGATGAGATCATATAAACTCATATTTGAAGCATGTGAATCTGCTCATCAAATATATCAAGGAAACTTATGCCTTCACAATTCAGAGTTTTTCACCACTTCTGAAAAAGAGGGAAATTAAATATAATCTGCTGTGAATCATTTTCAAGTCAGAGATTTTTGTATATAGTATCTGTCTGAGAATTGGCAAGCTGCGATGTGTTATATTCAATGCTGAAGAAGAGAAAACGAAAATGAATGAAGTCAAATACTTCAGTTTAGATTATCATTATTTGAACTTTGATGATGAGATATTCAGTGAAGCTGGTACTCAGCTGAAGGTTATCAGATTCCACAGATTCAGACCCATTTACACTTTCAAGATCTTTGTAATGCACTCGTTTATTATTTCCTTATTATTATATTATCTTTGTTTATATCTTTGTCTATTCTTACCTCTTTCCATTATACTCTCGCTACCACTATTTCTATATGTATATATATATGGATGCATGTATTTCGCACATCTTCTTTCTCTTTCTTTTCCTCTTCAGCGATTAACTACAACTACAACTACAACTACAATTACAACTTCAACTATACTACTACTATAATTATTATTATCTTCCACTACACTATATACTATCTTCTACTATTCACTCTTCACACTGTCATCACCCCTCACATTCACATCCTTTGAAAATCTCAAGATTTTGAGTCAGCAAAGAAACACACTCTTAGCTCTAGCAAGGACTTAATTAAATCTGATGTTTAATGTCCTCTTCCCTGTAATTGATTACTGGCAAAGAGTGTGGCCTCAACATGCTTCTATAGTA